TATATATAAAAAGGAAAAGCACGCACACAAGACCGTCATTATATTTGAATAAATATGCAAATACGGCGGACTAGGTCGCGAGGAACGATGATTGTACTAATTTGTATACATGCCATTAACATAATTATACTATATTCCCGTTGTCGTTGGCCCGCAAAGAGTAAATCCGCTGTGATAAACGAGCGGCAAATCGCAGATGGTACTCACTGTAAAGCTTGCTGAAGGCCATGTAGAACTCGTTAACGTTTAATCTGCCGTCACCGTCGGTGTCGTCGTAACTAATCATGTGGCTCAAATTGCACCCCGCGCTCAGCTCCTCCATATTTTCCTCCTCGGCGATCTGAATATTCGAGTGGAATATCAATTAAGGGCATCACCCGTTGCCCGGATAATGGAAAAAATCGCGCTTAATGCCTTTGAAATAGTGCGGTCGTCGAATAAATCCCCGTCGAGAGCGCTCCTCTCCCCTACCCGGTCATTTAAGCTCAAGGGGAAACGCTAATGAAGAAACTACTACGGGGGGTAAAGGTATATCACCTGCTCGAGCTCCTCCCGCTCCAAATTGCCGTCATTGTTTCTGTCATAGTGAGAAAACATGATGCTGACCAGGTATTCCTTGCTGTGATTGTCCTCGGACATTAATCTGGCGTGACTGTAGAGAAGCAAGTTGTCCTACGGCGAACGAAACGAAACGCAATACAGGAACGTGTTATTTTATCGCGATCATTTTTCTCGCACGATGCGCGCCCAGGTGGGCGTAGTCGAGGGAAAAGAGGTTATTGGAAATGAAGTCACGGATTCTTTATTCACGATGGCTCGACCTTCTCTTTTCTCTTTCATCGAAGCTACAACCGAGTTATACACACACACATATCCGGGGAAATATTAATGGACAAATCAAACCGTCGGCTTGTAAATTCAAGTAGACGAGAACCGGTGCTTTTATACCGAAGGATTTTTGCGCCGGGTTTTCCGCGCGTATCGGAAATTACTACGGGGGACGCAATCGATGACATACTTTCATAATTTCGTATTCCTGCGCGCAACACTCCTCGGTACCGTCCTTCCGCGGGATCGATTTGCCCGCCGGATGATGCTTCATCTTGTTCCTGGACTTGGCGTGTAAGATGTCCTTGCCTTTGGACGTTGGGGCATGGTACGCGAAGAAATCCTTTCGTGCCTGCGCGCTGTAATTACCTGGAAATGACGAAAAGACACTCCGAAGCTCTCTCACCAGTGGAGAAAGGACACCCCTTTTTTCCTTTTTCTCGTCGCTGCTGCTACTACAAGTCCCGACAAAGCGGCCGGTCGAGAGGGCCATAAATTAATAGAAAACTCCCAAGTTATTATTGAGTTTATAATGAAAGCAAAGTTCCAACGGAGGACTACCACCGGGGAGAAGATTCGCGATTTCTCCTAAAGTAAACGGCGAATTAAAGCCGGAAGTATCGGCAAAGGGTGTTTGGGCGATCCGTCGATAAGTTTCATGAGATTTCGCAGTAGCGTTGAATTCACGCTCGAATGAATGAACCGTTCGATGAAATTTTCCACGGGAAAACAGGCGGAACGCGCACGAAAGGTCCGCGTTGCTCGGAACTCTCCGCCGTGGCCATTATCGACCACCGGACTTACGCGGGGTAGTTAGGAGAGTGTTGCACGTGCTCACCATTGCTCAGGCATCTGGTGAGCCTCCGCGTGGTCAACGACGCGCCGGTGTTGCAGGCCGCGCGATGCAGTTCGCAGTGATTGGCGTACACCCTGCCGTTGCTGGCACAAACCGGTCGATGCTTCCGCGCGCATCTCCGAACGCAAATGCACACGGCGGTCCCGCCGTCCGCCTGGCACTCTTTGCCCGCGCCGCAATACTTCTCCACGCACGGATTTCCGCTGTCTAAAAGAGAGAGAACCGGAAATATCGTATTCTCCCGTCGATATCCCCGTAAAATATGTTGCGCCCAACGCGGCGTAAAAACGCGCTCCGTGTACGAGAAAGACGCGATTGATGGCGGGCTCTTGCAGAAGCGGAAAAGCGGAATACTCGCGAATGCGTTCGCGATAAAATTGCCGATCATCCTCGGTAATGCGATTCCGCGCCCGCGATAAATCACTCGGCGCAACCGTTGGCCCCGTATACACCCCTCGGAATGATACCCCGCCCTGAATGCCGCCGCATCATTGATTCCGGATTACTCGTATTAAACATTGCGAGCGAAAAACAGCCGATTCACGCAATAAGTCGTCCTTTCCTTCCACGTCGCGCTGTAAACGCATCCACAACCGTCCGAAGTATACGGTGCCAAAAGTCGGGAGTGATAACCACCTGCCGTGTAAAGTGTACCAAAGACTACCCTGAGTAACCCGGGTAATTGGCACGGTAAACGGTTACTTGCGTGTATCATTCGAATATCCAGATAGCGCGCAAAAGACTGAGTACCAGTGTATATACGATTCTCCGATAGTCGATAAAAGGCGCGGATTCGTTCAATCAACCTTTGGTGACAACGTAGAGACCATCTATAAAGCACTAGGTTGCAGAAAACGTCACAACGCTGGAAAGTTTCTACGCATGCATGCGCACACACGCACGCCGGCATTCTGCTCGTTACGCCATCGCGCGTCATCCTTCTTTTATTTGCGTTGCGAGGCGATACGAGAGTTTTTTCCCTAGCCTCGCTATGTGCATCCTTTTTTATGTAATAATAGTTTTATTAGTCGTGGGATTAGTGCTTTACGGAATTTTGATAGCGTACGGGCTAATTTAACGACGGTACAATGCGCGCACGAGGTAAACGCGGTAAACGCGGCGAATGCGTGATACGTGTAAGCGGAGCGGCCGGAGGTACAGTTTGATTAAACTTCCCGAATCGCGTGCAGCGATGTACAAATTACTAATTAACGTGCACGCAGAGACGAGGAGATTCGGCGGTTACTCACTCTCGCGAACGTGCCGGTTTTCCGAGTCCACGGATGCACCGTCCATCGAAGCCGACGTCGTGGACAGGGCTCCGCCGGAGGCCGACACTCCCTCGTCATCTTTCGCCGTGAAGTAACGATGCCTCGAGCGCTGTGAGGGGCAACGAACGTTAAAAGCGTCTAAATCTAACTACACGTTCGGCCGTACAAAGGCGTTTCGCGATCTACACTCAATTATTTGTTACTCAACGGCGTGGATTTCACGTCGAGTTAGAGCAGAGAAATCGGGACCACGATTAGCAAATAGCGCTGCCAGTCGTCATCGGTCCCGCGGTATTCTACTTTGTGACTACCATCCGATGCATAACTGAATATCTCAAGAATTGCAGATAAAATTCAGATAATATCTGCCCATTGTCTGTTTGACTCTTGCAGATGCCGATTTTGCCGACAGTTGATTTTCGTGTTTCATTGTTCAAAGACACTATGTACGCTAATGCACGATATTCGAGATCACCCAGGTACATGTCTGAAAGACCTGAGTAAACTCGAATAGCAGGTGAGTGTCCGAGGCGCTTGGATATTTGGCTACTGACACCACTATCAGCAAAGTTGCGGTAGTTTCTTCGTCGGATGCTGATGATACGCGACGCTTTGTCCGATATGAGAGAGACGCTTCTCTCTCCCTTCGTTGCTGAAGCCGCTCGCACTTTCATTATTCGTCGTCAACAATCCGAAGCACTTCAAGTCGCCGGAAGTTGACCGTGTGCTCGAGGAAAGGAGGGGAGGGGGTGGTTACGCGAGCTCGTCGGTTTCCGAAAGGAGGTCAGAGTTATGTGCACCGACCCTTCATCGACCCTGCCTAGGTGCACTGACGGTATCGCTCGGGTGAATGTAGCACGGTGTCAATGTAAACAGATAAACAGGCGTGGATTACGCCGGCTAACGGCCATTATCGGAGTTGCGCAAGAAATCCGCTCTTTGGAGGAAAGCCAAGAAGATCCATCGTGAAGAGAGTGCTCATCTTGCGGTCGTCAACTCTCAGACGAAGGTTTATGTGGGTAATAATGCTCACGAGAAAGAGAGAAAGAGAGATGGGGAGAAAGAGCGAGAGGGAGGGTAAGCTGGACGAAAAGATAGGTAGAAAATATAATGAGAAGTTTATACGTATAATCGGACGATAATTTGCACCACGACTCGGCACGAATGCTGAGCTCCACCGGTGAAATTCTAATTTTCGTTGCACTTTTATCTTTTAGCTGATCTCTATTACGCTAAATTTCACATATAATATATTTTAAAGTAACATTCATTCCTGTTTTTCCCAATAAAATTTATTTTTCCCCGCAGATTGTGCGATTCTTTCATTAAAAGGATAATTCCGCCGTACGATAATCAAGAATTTATATAATTGCGGCAACGCGGGGGAAAATTAATTAAAATTAATTACAGTAATTACATTCGATTTAAATTCGAACGTAGTTACGAGAAAACCCTTGTTAACCATTTAATTGCTGCGCTGCCTTTTGATCCAAGAATTACTGAACTTCTTCTCCCTCTTTTTTTTTATCCCAGTTTGCGACTTAATTCAAGTCATTTTATAGCGAATCTGATTTTTTTTAATTTCTTCCCGACACCAACGTGCACGTAATAACATTGATACGAATATTTTGATAGTTTTGAAAATCAATAAATAATTTCTCTCAACAGATACAATGATAGAACAACAAAATACTTTGATAAAGATACACACGTCCAATTGATGTCGAGAATGTTTTCAATTCAGAATTACATCGACGCTTAGATGGTTAAAAAGGCACACAAGTATAATAGCAATTACCTTGTAACGAAGTATATCAGAACCGAGTGCAGGAGATATGTAGGTCGAGACGATCGAAAGCAACAGGAAATAGAAGGCTACGAGGCAAGACTTTAGTCGCATCTGAAAAATATATCAGAAATCATATAAAGTCGCTGTCAGATTCGTTCTTTCATATTGTCTGTTTTATCGTTATCGTTCTTCTTTTGGAAATAGATATATAAGAGATGTAACGTATGAGTATAATTTTCAGCGAAAAAGCTGTGCGAAAAAGTACTTTAATTTTATAATATATATACGATCGTATGTTTATATCAGTAGGCTTAAAACTCAAGTAAAATACTTATATATCGATTGATATAAATTATGGAAAGTTAAAAATTCTTATTTATAGGAAACCTATAATAATTGAAATATTATTTTTTTATATAAATTTATTTTTGCCATTTTTTATTCTCAATACACTTCGCAATACAATATATTGGTTCTTTCGAATTTTTTAAATTTGCATTTCGAATATTCATATTTGACCTAAACAACATCGAAATGTAAGAAGAATTACTGGGTGTTTATACGTAAATTCATCAAATACACTTATTCTCTCTCAGGCTAGATCAGAAGAAAGTTGACGAGCGTACAAGCAACGGCATTGCCCAACTTGTCGGGAATACGGCTCCATTCAATACTAAAAAGAATTCGTACTTTCTCCAATTATCCAACCGTTGTTCGTAATTTATGCCCCCTTAATCCATTGGATTACCATAACCTTCCGGTTATCAACCTCGGAAAGGAAAGGGAGGAAATCGCTGCGGTTCTGTATGTCTGAAAATTTACAGTGGTATATCCCGGAGACGTTTACACGGTAGAGGTTGGCCCGTCTTAAATCTTCCAGCCAACTTCGAACGTGGCTCGTCTATATTTTATACTTGCCCACGCGGAAATTTACCGTAAGAATGCGCGAAATGTTAGGATATTGTGCGAACGCGCGATTCTCGCGAAAATACATCGGCTCTGATACAAAATGCAGTCGGCTGATACTTTGCAATTTTATTAGAAAATGGAAAAAACAAATTAATCATCGATTTACGACTACACGACGAGATAACGAGCGACAGGACGAGGAGGCGGCGAATGTATCGTCATTTCCTCAGATAGCGTTGACACGCGACTCTCTCGTGATACACTGAATACATCGAAATAACATTTATATTTATGTAACATTATTAAGATTAATATCTTCCTCGCTTCGTCACCGGACGGATGCCACTTGACTAGAAAGTTTGTTCCCAAGCCGTGAACTCGAGATCGCCAAGTCAAAATGGAAACGTAGATTTCACGGACGGATGTAAAAGGAAAAACGCCGTGTTTGCGAACCACTGTCGTTGGCCTTTGAGCGATCGCCGATGGTGGAATACCGTTGTGTAGTCTTTTTGGGAGGGTCGTCCGGCCTGCCTTGGTTTGCCGAGCAGTTGGGTAGTAGCGTAGGGTCGCGTCATCCATACAAAGGGCGTCTTAGTTCTCCTTTGATCCCGGCTTGGTACGCACGTCTTCCCTCGCACAGCGCCGAAGTACGAAGGCTAGCCGACTGGATACATCTCGAGTGGGCCGACTCTCTCCGAGATTTGGTGTATCGTGACGATTACCTGTCGTTTAGTCGGCCCTCCAAGGTGGGTCAATACGACCGTCCGAATTTGTCGTTCGTTACTTTCAAACTCTGCCCCTCGAAATCTCGCGTATATCGCGATAATAATTACCGCCAGCTTACCGTCGATCCTCTCGAGTAGACACGATGCTCAGTATCGCAGTTTGCGGTTTGTTATTTTTCAATTCGACACACCGTGCTTGATCTTTATTGGATGTATTTAGTGGCTCAAGCCGACACAAGCATCACTTTGTTTCGTATTCAGCGAACAAGAAAGATAAGACGATGTCGACTTGCGTCGCTAAATGGAAATTACTCATTATTATCTCAAACGATATAGCTTTCTCCCTTGTTGCTCTCGCGCTACATCGGAAAAATGTTTCCCTCCTGCAGCTCGACGCTCGCTCACGGACTAATCTTCGAAGATCCTCGGGAGGATGTATCGTTTACTCGTCGGTTGCATCGCGTTACTTAGCGTACACGGAGATCGGCCGTTCGTCTCGGCGCCGCCTCCGCCGGACAACTTCCCCGACACGTTGTCGTCCACCGACAGGAATTTGTACGGTGCGCAGGACGCGTCTACGAGCGTCAATAATCCAGAATCCGGCTGTCCGTGCTTGACATCGGTCAATAGCACGGCGATCCCCGGACAATCGACGATGCAGCATCTCGAGCAATTCTACAGCCGGAACGTGATGGTGCACGGCATGATGTGCACATGCAACGTCGGCCTGCGCGGCGCCCCGATGAGGGACGATTATCATTACTCCGTGGGTATTGGCGCGCACAAGCTGCACACGAGAGCCGTCGCGTGGAACGACGCGAGGAAGGTCTGCAATGAGGAAGGGGGTCACCTCGCGATCATTAATTCCGTCGCGGAGGCGCATGTAAGTACGGCCGTAACCGAGTATTGATGCCCGCGCGTCGTCCTGAGTCTCCCAAATCCCACGCTTTCATCCTCACGACTGATCCCGTGAAAAGATGTCGTCCGTGCCGCGATTTCATTCCAAGCGGCGAGCAAGGGTGTCAGCGTCCCGTTATACACCGTTCATTCTCTTTCAGATATTACTGGAGATTTTTAACCACTCCGGACCGATCAAAGGTGCGGTGTATCCCGACGAGGCCTTTCTAGGCACGCATGACCTTTATAGAGAAGGTGATTGGGTCACGGTGTTAGGAGATTCGCTGGCGAAAACCGGTTACACAAGGTGGAGCGATAAGTGGGGCGGGCAGCCCGACAATGGAGGCGGCAAACAACACTGCGGCGCTTTAATGAAAGAGGGTGGCATGGACGACGTCGCGTGCGACGTGCCGTTTCCATTTCTCTGCGAACTGCCGCTGATGCAGGTCCTCCAGTGAGAACGAAATCTCGCGGAGGATTCGTCATCGGGCGATGCCGAGTGATATTTATGGTCTCGATTTCGCCGCGATCTCGGTCAAACCACCTCACGAAATAGAGGAGCGCGCGGAAAATGGGGGGGCGGAACTAATTTCGAATTTCGTATCATATTCGAGCTACGAATTATAGCCATCGAGAGAGAAACCGCATGGTGGCCGGTAATTGCTATCTTTGTATTACATCAAATTTGCCGGAATATTAACGCGAATGATAATGTAATCCACTCAAATGGTTACCGATGCGACGGACATGTAATTTCACGAATATTATCGTTTGCAGTAGTATTGCGTGCGATTTATATTCATTCATATAACAACGTCGCTCGTGCATCGTAGATGCGTTAGTCGATCTTTACTCGATCCAATTTTTCGCGCTGCTCGAGCGCCACGAGTATGTGTAACTTTCTATATACAAATTAAATCAACAGAGAGAGAGAGAGAAAGAGAGATATACGACTGGCTGCACTCAACGCGTCGTAAACCTTCTCGGTTATTATCTTAAAAAGATAACTCACACTGCGATCGGTGTCTGAGAAAAAAAAATGAATTTCCCCTTGCACGTTAATGAAAGATTTAATATTAAACTCGTATAGCTCATAAAGTTGGGTCATAAACTGCATAGTCAGTTGCCGACCCCGTTTCTCCTGTCCGTTCCTATTTTCCTTTTTGTACTTTCCACGCAAGATATATGCCGTGTCTTTATTTTCCGCTCCTATAAGGCGTGCAACGAAGTAAGAAAATTGAGTCCCTCATCTCTCCCCAGTAGTTACGAATAATTCGAAAACAATTGCATTTTCGTGTGAGTTCGTGTGCGACAGCCATTAGCTTCTGATTTCGAGCGGACGCAGATATCCATCGGATATCGATTTCGCGTATTTCGAGGTATGCAACAGGCGTTAGGCTAGTTTTCGGCGCGCATCGCGCTCGAGCAAATTGCATTAATTAATGGAAGCAAGATACCGATGAAAAATGGTTTGCAATCGGCTTGACCTCAACGTTACGTTACGTTAAATCCGTCATAATGTCAATACGAAAGGGCGGAGCGACGGAGTAAGGTCACGGTTATCGCACGGATATCGCGGTATGTCAATTAATTAGCGATGTCATCGCTTATCGTGTCGAATGATCTACACTTAATGATGTTGGAGGTCGCGGTGAAGAATGTGAGTGAATATCCTCCTCTGATATCATCTCTCGATCTGATAATCGGATATTTCGTTAAATTTACGATTTAACACGTTTGCTTTGCACAAGAATCACATCGATCGTTACCGCTCGATTATGGGTTTTAATCGCGAGTACGTAGATTTTCACTCAATTACTATTTATCGTGTAAGTTTCGGACATATCATCGTCGATGCACAGTACATTCCGATTGATCGACGGAGGACCGAGAATTTACTTTCGTAATCATATTCGAATAACGAATCAACATCTATCCGCACGGCAGCTCTTCGTCCCTTGGACGTCCAAGTTCGACGAAGTCATCTTGAAGAAAACGTCCATCGTGTTTCGCATGTTGGATAACGAATGGACGCCGCTGTCACCGAACCGACGCGATTACCGTTCTTATCGCGGCTCCAACCACGAGAACGAGAAGTTCCACGGCGGCAGATCAGTCGTCTTCTGTGTGCCAGCGAGCTTCTTCGAGGAGAAAATAGACGGCGTAGGTGTCCAGCTCTATGTGCGAAAGGAAGTGTGCAAGTATTTCGAGATGAACTTGTGCCAGAATGTGGGCTTCGCTGTCGTGCCGGTCGATGATCTTCTGAACAGCATCAGAAAGCAGATCCGTGAGCGGGACGTATTGGCGGAACACTTGTCGGACTTCTGCAAGCGGCAGATTATCTCGAGGTGATAGAGCTGAAAATTGGAATACCCCCGAGGACAGCCCGTTGTTGACGAGAAGCCGCGACCTTTTATCTTGTCGAAAACTACCTTCGACCTGCTCTCGTTTATTTTCAGATATCTATTGATTGATTGAACGAACTGTAATTTTTCAACGTATTTTCTAAATTTCTTACAATGAAGTTTCATGCGAAAAGTGGAGTGGCTTTTCAATCTTTCTTCCGAGTGAATTCTCTATCCTAAATCACCGAGTGAATATATTTTTTTCACTCGAAACTGAAAGGATCTCTTGTACTCCACCGTCAGGGGAACATAATTCATTCTAATCGATTGAAACATTCGCTCGCGATGGGACAGGAATTCGCTCGAAGCTCGAGCGAAACATTCACTCTTGCTCGATCTCGAGCGACAGTGTTTCCACTATCTCTTCGAGTGAAGTAAATGTCACTTTTCATTCGTCTTGAATAATTGAACTCCAAGAAATTTAGAAAGTACGCGTGATAACTGTAACGCACGTATTACGCGTTAAGATGAAACGTTGCGCGGATAAAACGCGTAATATAATAGCCGCGCAGCGGAAATTAGCAACAACGGTGTTAATGTTTCACAGAATAAGCACACGGCTCGTCGAAAAACAGCTGACGTCGAAAATATATGCGTATCTTGTTTTGCAACGCAAAGGCGTTACGCAAAAACACACGGGGATTTGTCGAGTTATTTAGTGCCGTATTATTAGCGAGTTTAGCATAATTAGCCGCTATGTTGAACTCGACACAATCCCAGGGGTCTACTAAAACACGGTGATTGTGATTTAAGATCCACGATGGGAATTCACACTTTGCTGGACGAAAACTTCGAAGACACCGCAGCTACAATCTCGCTCTACATTCGGATCAGTTATCTCGGCAAAAGCGTCATAACGGAGATCACGTGTATCGAAGGTGCACGCGAATTGTTTTGCGCTCGAAGGGAGCCAGACGAGAAACCGACTTATCGCCTGCAACAGCTGACACTGAAAAATCTCAAAAGCGGCCACTGGGACAGCGATTTCCCGCGTATTCCTTGTGGTCGTTTAACATGCTATTGCAAGGAACTTGGTAAAGAACTTACATATTTAACTGGTAAATAAACTAATAACACGGTAATACGATGAATTAATTCAGGCAATTCAGAGATACGAGTTTTCTCTGAGTTTTTTTTTTTTTTTTGGAAAACACATAGAAACGTTTAATTTTAATCTAGGGATGAAACCCCCCGGCTAGATAAAACCGTAAAATCCGATGCATTTTATCGCAACGGCTGCGGAACACAGAGCTTTTCCCTTTATGCACACGCGTAAAACAAACGCATGGTAGAAATATATTTCCGATATTTTTGGAATGAGATTTTTTGGAAAAAAAAATGTACGATTCGTTGCTACCGCTTTTTAATTCGTCGAAACCGATGCAATTCAAAACGAGCCGATCGCTTATACAGATCCCAAATAAATGTGACGAGCGATCGAATTTTGCAAGCGAATTTACACGCAATGACATCTGTCAACAGGAGGACTCGAGGCTGATGCACTCGACATGACGACTATCGCGGATGAAGTAAACGGCGTGGATAAAGTAGCGACAGGTATTACTACAGTTTTGCTAATGGCGAGCCATAATGTTCGAAGCGGTGTTTGTAAAGAGGATCTTGTTTATTTTACAAATGCAAAAAAGAAACAAATATATTTCAAGAAAATACACATGTCCTCTCATATCGGCCGATATCAATCTTTCTGACATCGAGTGTGTGTCGCATTAAGTGCTAAAAAACAACGAGAGTGTCTGACGCTCTCGAATTCCTTTTTCTCATTCACTTCACTCTGAGTGTAAGAGAGAGAGAGAGATAGAGAGAGAGAGAATGACAGGAAATATATTGTTCACGTATATATTTATTGATATACGTATTAAAATACGCATATATTTATTGATTTGACTTTGCTTATAAAATGACACGAGAATAGTGAATAATGCGCAGGTATATAAGAATATGAAATATCTTTTTCGACAGATGTAAAAACGAAAGCGAAAGCGAAAAAGGACAAGAAGGGTCGAAGAAAAGTTACGCTGAGCAAATCGAGACGCGGGGGCATGGTAACAATTGGCATCACGGAAAGAAGGAAGGGGACTTGCGCTCCGTCGCCTCTGTTCTCGTGTCTGCAAACGTATCCTTTGTGCTGTCGATTGCAACCCCATCCAACTTGTTTCAACTACTGCTTCGACATTTCACCTTGTTATTGTTACAGGACGGCGTGTCCTCTTCAATATTTCCAACAGGATTCTTTCTGTGTGTAACGAGTTCGCGCGCACTATGGCCTCTGTCATTCGTGGCAACTTCGATCTGTCGAATTGACTTCCTCTCTCTCTCTCTCTCTCTCTTTCTCTCTCTCTCTTTTTCTCTCTTAAACTCTTAGTAATTGCGAAACTTTCAGAACTTGCGAACGTCCATCCGTAACTTAATTTCTATTTATTGACATCATATTTCCTTGTATATGTCTATTAAAAAAAAAATTCTCTTACCATTCGTCTTTATACACTTTTTCACCTTTTCATTAGCGGAAAAGTTTTCCATCGACTTTCTTATCAAAACCACCCAGATCGACGACCGCCGACCTGATTACTTCACCACCATCGATAATATTACCCGGCACTTTTCTCAAATTAAGATTCGTTATCCTTGCGTTTTTTTCTTAAATTTATATTCTTTTTCTTAAATTTATACTGTTTACCAAATCACGAGTAAGCTAGAACGGAAGTTAGTGCGATTTGACCGACTTTCCTTCAGACATCATTATGTTTTATATCTACGTGGCGCAATCTTGTGCAACATAGCGCGTAATAATGCAGGTAGCAATGCTTTGATCTCCGTAGCTGAGAGATGCATTGCACTCGACCATAGAGACTATAGAAAATTGAAACGATCGGCTTGACAACATTGTTAGTTCTAAGAGAGAGCGAGATGAGAGATCGAGATAAAAGAAGAGAAAAGGGAGAGGTTTCAGATATTTAAAAATATCAGAAAAATGTTCAATAATAGCCCTTTCATATTACCTCACAATAACATTTAACAAAGAGAAAGTCCGCCTACGTCCAAGCCATCGCACTTTAGTAACGTAACTCTTTATCGCGGAAGAGATCAAAGTAAACGGTGCAACGCGGTTCGTGCTTTCCACATACGAGTAATTTTAATGTGAAAGATAATAACTCAACAGTTCCGATTCTGTATATTTAAATGCATATTTTTCATTCGCGAGAACGCGATTTCAATAATATTGTATATTATCAAATCTATTCAGATTACTCAGATAATAAATAGCTTCAATTGCATATTTGATTTTTTTTTATCATTCATTACACGTCCCGTGACGTGAACAACTCACACATCCGGATTCGAGTGACGGCGAATTTTTCAAGGAAAAAATGAAAAATCAGAACGAGTGAAATCAAGATGCTCAAGTTCAGTTGACAGAATTAGATCTGATTAGGAGCGGCGATCGCGAGTTCTTGAAACGTGATGCTCAGTGT